TCCTGCCTTGTTTTCTATTGACTTGTGTTTTCAACCTCCTGACTTGTTTTTTCTATTGACTTGTGTTTTCCACTTCAGGACTTGTGTTTTCTACCTCCTGTCTTGTTTTCTATTGACTTGTGTTTTTTACCTCCTGCCTTGTTTTCTATTGACTTGCTTTTAACCTCCTGACTTTTGCTTTCTATTGACTTGTGTTTTCCGCCTCATGACTTGTGTCTTCTATCAACTTGTTTTCCACCTCACGACTTGTGCTTTCTATTGACTTTTTTCCACCTCATGACTTGTGTTTTCTACCTCCTGCCTTGTTTTCTATTAACTTGTTTTACACCTCCTGACTTGTGTTTTCTACTGACTTGTGTTTTCTACCTCCTTACTTCTGTTTTTTACCTCCTGGCCAATGTTTTTCTACCTACTGACATGTGTGTGTGTTTTGTTGCCTCTTAACTTGTGGTTTTCCACCTCCTGACTCCAATTTTTTTCCACCTTCAGGTCGTCAGCGAGTCGACGCAGCATTAACAAGACATCAAGTAATGATCTGCAGAGATGAGAAGAATCGACAAAAACTAAATAAAACTGAACGAAAGGAATCTGCAGATTGATGTTCCTGTTCACGAATTTTTGCTTCCTGCTGTTAACTGCTGAATGAAACAAACTTTGTTAGTTTAATGAGCTTTGCTGCTGTTCTGTTTTATGTTAAAATTTAGACAAACCTCACTGTTTCTCCACATTCAGGCATTTTAAGAAGGATGAAAAACACTTATAGCTAGGATGAGTTTAGGCTGAACTAAAAGGACAGTCACAGTTCTCAAATGGAAACAGGTGGAGTGTTCCCTTTGGAACAGACATGGAGTTCAGGTATCTGGACGTCTTGTTCCTGCGTGATGGGAGGTGGGCCAATGTGTCGGAGCCTCGTCTGCAGAAATGAGAACATTGCTCCAGTCTTTTGTAGGTTACTAAGGCTTAAGCAACCAGATCCATGATACAAGCAGCTGAACTAAGCTTCTTCTGTAGGGTTCTGGGCTCAGCCTTAGAGATCCGGTGTAGGAGGTCTTGGTTTACATCCTGGACATGATAGCTCCATGACTCAACCACAAAGAAGGTAGACAGGAAGAAGGATGGATGGATGAATTGATGAAGCCAATTGATATTTTATTTAAGATAATAATGTTCTCTAAACTGATCATCAGCTTCCTCTTGCCATTACTTTATTACTGCTTTATGGGGCGTCAAACACATAAATGAGGGCAAATATGACCAAAAATGACACAGATTTAGCACTGGCTAATAAATCATCAGATATCACAGAAATACCGTATCATAATATCAGTATCGTAATTGATGTATCATATATATCGTGACTCAATATTTTCTAAATCCTGAAGTTTGTGCAGCGAAAGATTCTGTTGAAGGTAAACGAAGGCAAAAATGAGACTTTGATACAGTATATTGCACTGGCTAATAAATTATCAGCTATCATAGCATTACCATATTATGATATCGGTATCGTAACTGATGTATCGTATATATCGTGACTCGATATTTTCTGGATCCTGAAGTTTCTGGAGATGAAGCGAAACATTCTGCTGGAGGTAAAAGAAGGCAAAAATGAGACTTTGATACAGTATATTGCACTGGCTAATAAATGATCAGCTATCATAGCATTACCATATTATGATATCGGTATCGTAACTGATGTATCGTATATATCGTGACTCGATATTTTCTGGATCCTGAAGTTTCTGGAGATGAAGTGAAACATTCTGTTGGAGGTAAAAAAAAGAGGCAAAAATGAGACTTTGACATATAGCACGGGATAATAAATGATCAGCTAACACAGAAATACCGTATCATGATATCGGTATTGTAATTGATGTGTATTTCATGATGCAATATTTTCTAAATCCTGAAGTTTCTGGAGATGAATTGAAAGATTCCGTTGGAGGTAAAAAAAGACAAAAACGAGACTTTGACATATAGCAATGGCTAATAAATGATCAGCTTTGATACAGTATATAGCACTGGCTATGTGATCAGCTATCACAGAAATACCAGACCATGATATCAGTATCGTAACTGATGTATCGTATATATCGTGATTCGATATTTTCTGGATCCTGAAGTTTCTGGAGATGAAGCGAAAGATTCTGTTGAAGGTAAAAGGCAAAAACGAGACTTTGACATAATCTTGCTAAAAGTGGATTTTATGGTTTTTAAAAGTTTCAGCACACATATACTGTATATATATATATATATATATATATATATATATATATATATATATATGTATGAAATAAAACTCTCACACGTTTCGTCATGTTTAGGCCCATCAGGAACACATGCTTTAATCATCTGAGTCATAAATCAGTTATGTGTTTTTAAGCATGATGTCATCAAAAAGACGATGCTAAAATAAATAAATCAGCAAATAAATACATCCCATCAGATTCTAACAGGTGTCAAGTTTCTTTAAGGTCAAAGACAAGTTGAAATGTTAAAAAGAAAGTGCTGTGTTTTCTGTACAACGATCACACTGACGCAGATGAGCGTGTGTTCAGCAATGATCATGCATGTTCAAATAAGAAGGTTCATCCCACCTCTCCTTATTCTGTTATCTTTAAACGGCTGAAGACAGGAAGTGTTCACATATTCACCAAGACATCGTAAACCAGAGTCATTCCAGGTTGCATTTAGGCTGGTTTACACTGGCACCTCGGCTGATCCAGATCCAAAAGGGGCTTCAACTCACTCATCCTCTCTGTGATAACACTAACATCCTTCAAAGGAATGCATTCTCCCTGTCGCTTTGAACGGCAAATTTTTAAATAAAGACCTTATATGATCCATTAGCACTCGGAATATGTGTTGGAGGTGACTCTCAGCTACCACCACGCCACATTTTAGCTGTGCATTTATAAAACTGACCGAGTTAGAGTCAATTTAGTGTTTGCCAAGATCGCTTAACGGTGGCGGTTGACCGGCTGTAGAATATCCAGAGAGTTTCATTCAAATACAATCAGTGGTTGAAGAGATATTTTGCTAACAGGTAGTTACATCATGACGGCACACGATAAATTGAAATTATAGCTGTGAACAAGCATTTTATTTAACTGAACAGAGCTCAGCTTAAAGTTTGAAAACAACAACAACAACAACAACAAAAAGGTTTGTTCTGATTGGTCAAAGAATTTGATGATTATCTGAGAGCGCTAATAGCAGCAGCTAGCTTTTGCACTTCCTGTGCAGCCCGGAGGTACTTCCTGCATCATTAAAAAAAAAAACTAAAATAACAACAGGATAAAACTCTTGTTAAAGATTTATAACGTACCGTTTACATGAATCATTAGGAATTGTTTTAGTTTTAAGATGACGTGATCCGCATTAGCCTGCTACGTTAGCCGTTAGCTTAATTCAGTTAAGCCTAAACACCTTTTTTCTACCAAATGGATTCATTAGATCTGGATTTTAACACTTGACTCTGAACTTTATAATGCAAGTCATATAATTTATTGTATTATTAAGTAACAATTTAAGTTTAAACATTTTATCCAATTTTCCTTTTTTTTTGTTCTTGAAACAAATTGTTTCAATTAAAGAGACTTAGAACGGTGTGAAGTGTTGAATAAAAACTTTTATCCAACTTCAAAGTCCATGCTCAATAATCCAGGTATACAATCCAATATTTTTCAGTCAGGTCATTTGGACAATTTATTATTATTATTTTTTTGTGCTGAAATGTTTCACCTTCGATCCAGAAGGCTTCATCAGTCAAGGAAACACAACACAAAACTGATTCTTCCCCCAACAGCTTACTCCAAAGTAGAACAAACCAGTTATGTTGGTGCTAAGATGGTCTCTTTGTCACGCCCCCTCCTCTATTGCCAGCCCTCTTACTTGTTGTTTTCAACCAGTTTGACACGACTGTCAACAAGGAAGAGGGCCGGCAATAGAGGAGGGGGCGTGACAAAGAGACCATCTTAGCACCAACATAACTGGTTTGTTCTACTTTGGAGCAAGCTGTTGGAGGAAGAATCAGTTTTGTTGTGTGTTTCCTTGACTGATGAAGCCTTTTGGATCGAAGGCGAAACGTTTCAGCACAAAAAAAAAAAGAAATTGTCCAGATGACCTGATTGAAAAATATTGGATTTTATCCAACTTGTTTTTACTTCTATTTATTCTCCTCCTTCACGTCGTATGAACTGAAGTCATTTAGACTTTAGTTCTGCGTCAGTTTGAAACAACTGGAAATAAAGAGCTGCTTTAGTTTAGAATATGGAGAACATTTGACGATATTTATATGGAGTTCAGTGGTCAGTGCCACGGTCTTGTAATCCTGAGGTTGCAGGTTTGAGTCCAGTTGTGTCAGAAAGGGCATCCAACATAAAGTTTGCTCGCTGTGTTGAGCCCTGAAGCGGGAGCAGCCGAAAGAAACCTGCAATTTATATGGAGAATATTTGACGGCTCTATTCTTTTCTTTACTTTGTCGACATGTTTGAAAAATTTACTCAACAAATTCTTTGCCAAAATTGTTGCAACGTCGTTGCGTGCATCTCAAACCTGTGTTGAACTTGTTTTAAACTAGTCTCAGTTTAGTACCGGAGTCAAACAGTTAGAGAAAGTACTTTGTAAGGTAACTGTAGCAATCAGTGAAACCCAATTGTTACTATTTGGAGACAAAAAAAGTCTAATTTGTGACACTTTGTGACTGAAACGCAATAAATAAATTGGCTTGTTATTTGAAGCATGTACATAAAACAGGTTGTACGTTCTGAATGATTGAGATTCCAAATAAAAATGTACGTATTTTCTCACAATTTCGTGTTTTCAACTAGCCGCTGACAGAGGCAGACAGTCAGATACAAGCGTAAACCAGAAGATGCACCACAGACAGATGAGTGTTTATAGAATAAACTATGATAATAATAATAATAATAATTAGGGATGCACGATATTGGATTTTTGGCCGATATCCGATATGCCAATATGTTAAAACTTATTTGGCCGATAACCGATACCAATACCAATACCAATACCAATATTTTTTTCCTAGACCTACTTAAAGAGACCACATAGCTTTCTCTGCTGTGGAATTAAAATAGTACATTATTCTGCACGGTCTTTGTCAATGCAAATCAAATGCAGATGCCAAAAAGGGGGCAGAAAATGACGTAACACTTCAACTTGGATTATGTTTAATGTCAAATTTATTCATGACATTTACTCTCTCTAACTCTCTGTCATACAAAACAGCACCTTATATATATATATATGTGCATTTATAAACAGTGCCTTTTATATCGGTGAGTTATTTTTGATGAAATGGCTGATATTTAACTTTATTGCCAATATCGGCCGATACCGATACTGCCGATAATATCGTGCATCCATAATAATAATAATAATAATAATAGTGACCGTACGTCTTTGTGAGTCTGTCTGCAGATAAACTCTCATTTAACCTGGAAATAAAAAGCTAACTTTCTGGAATAACTTGTTTTTCCTGACCCACCTGGCGACCGAAGATCAGCCCTGAACGAAAAATCTGTTGAATTATTTCACATGTATTTGTTTTTATAAGAAAAACGTGTTTTCTGTCAGATTCATGCGAGTTCTAACGAGAGGTGCCGGTGTAAACAGCTTTTCCGTCCAGTGGAAACATCTTTCAGCTCAGCTCGTGCTAACGTGCGCAGCCCCAGGACAGAGTGAACTGACCTGGTCTTCTTACAGCACTTTGACGTTCTGTCCAGCACCAAGAGGGACAACTGGTATCCCCTTTATAAAAACATCACAGATACGTTAAAGATGCCTTATTGTTTACCAAGTGGAACGAGGAACAAGAAGTTAGTCTTTTTCTTGCAGCGATAGATGAAACACAAACAAAAACAAAGTGGACTGGATTTCTCTTCCGATCCGATCTGTGTGTTAGAACCTGAGCTGGGTCGGCAGGGAGACTCTGGCGCTTGATCCAGTTGGACTGAAGGCCGAGACAAACGTTTCAGCAGGCTGCTCTCCTTTATTTGTGTTGAGTGTGCGCTGAAAGAGTGAAAAAAAAGTTCAGATAAACTCCTGAACGTCACCAAACAGTGTCAGCTGAGGCTTTACGACCGAAAAGGTTCGGCTATTTCCAGTTCAGCTTCTTTCCTAGACGGCTGGAGAAACCCAGAATCTTTAAACCCGACGGTGATTTGTTGCGATTATCCAAATGTTAGGAGGTGGTTGTTCCTCCCTGGTCAAACGTTTAGGAGGTGGAGCTGTGGTCAGGCTCGAAGAGGTGGTCCGGCTACTCCGGTGAGGGGTGTGGTGGAGCCACAGTCGTATCCCATCTCCACCACAGCGTGGGAGCCCCCGACCAGGCGGCCCGCAAACGGCTGCTCCTGCACCTGCCGGTCGCGGAAACTCTGGATGTAACTCTGCCAAAAACAAACAAAAACATTTAAGTTCAGGCTCAAAGCACATCCGAGTTTTCCCACGATGACCTGAAACTCTCAGCTGACGGCAGAAACATCAAATGTTTACCGGCGACAGGACGTCGGTGTCGTAGCGGCGGATGGGGTTGGGCTTGCGGCGGTAGGCGGGCTCAGTGTGGAGCTGCTTGGCCTGATTGTGGTGGGCGGAGCCAGGCTGCTGCTTTTTCTTCTTTTTGTTGCGGTAGCGGTCGTCCCGCTGACGGATGCGCATCACCTGCATCCTCCTCTGCTGCCGGCTAATGATGACTGCAGGGGTCGGAGGAAGATTTGACTCGTTTACATTCGAATGTCTCCGGCTTAACTCAAACTGCAACAAATTTATTATGTTTAATACAATTACTACTATATGTGCTTCTTTCATGGGCGTTGCAACAGTTAATATGTGAAGAGGAAGTGTGTCCCCCCACATTTAAAAAATATTCATTTTGATCCCCGCACAATTACCATGAAATATTAGTTCACCCAGTTCATGAACAAATCCATTCCACTTGAAGAAAAAGAAGGAAGAAGGAGAATACTCAAACCACTAAAAATCCACTCCAGGTTTTCCTGTTTACCTACAACAACTCACCACACTGCATGCAGTGTTTCCCCAGGGTCACTTAGCCTGACAGTGCGCTCATGGGAGGAGGAGTGGGAGACACCTCTGTGTTGCGTGCTAGCTTAGCGCTATGTTAGCGCCGGCGGGGGGTGGGGGGTGGGATGCATGAGAGAAGCGGAGCGTGCTCTATTCACACAAGGAGAGCTGTTGGTCAGGCTACAAGTAGTAATGTGCTCTCTAAAATAGTTTTTGAATCAAGTGTTTGCATATGTAGGTAAACGTAGATGCTTAATAACACGTTAAGATACACCAGAATGCAGGAAATGGCATTTACTTGATTCAAAATTTTCTGTGGGAGGGCCCTCAGACACATTACAAATGCTTCTGACCACAGTGCTTATTTGCACTTTTAACTCTCCTCGTTGATACGTTTTGCTAACCTTTAGCTATCCTGATGCATGCTCAATAATCCAGGTAGAAAAATCCAAAAAAGTTCAATCTGGTCCTCTGTTATGTTTTTTGCTTTTTTGAATGTCCAGAGGACCAGATTGAACTTTTTTAGATAACCTTTAGCTAGTTTTAACAACTACCTAGTTTTTGATAATTTTAGGTTTTAGAAAGCCTTTTGCTATTTTAAACTTATAGCTATAATTCTGCTAGTTTTTGTTTTGAGCTAACATTTTGCTACTTAAAGGTAGCCATTTGCTAGTTTTATCTATCTTTTATCTTTTAGCAAGTCTGTTGCTTTTCTTTTTTTAAATTGTTTTAGCAAGCTTTTGCAACATTTAGCTTTTAGCAAGCCTTTTGCTACTTTTAGCTAACCTGTGCAACTGACTTTATTGCAAGATGTTTACAGAGTCATCGTGCGCGCCTGGAACTCGTCTGACTTTAATTTTTTTGGTATTCTGGAGCACTCAATCTTTATTTTTTGGCTAAGTTCATGTGAACTTCTGGAAAATTTCACCTCACATTTCACATTTATTAGCTTCACTTTTCTAAGATTCCAATAAACAATATTATTACTAGTCCCTAAGAGTTGCAACCCAGTAAGATTCTGGCTTTTAAAGGAACATTACTGGCATTATAAAAAATATTGGCCTCGTCTTTTTTTAATCAAGGAGAACCACTTATATTAAGAAAACGTAAACAAGATGTAAACAGAAAAAACTCGAAGCCTTTACTGACCTTTGGTGTGGGAGTATCCCTCAGCCGTCACCTTCCACTGAACTATGACCCCCAGCAGGGTGAGGGATGGCCACACTCCAAGCACCACCCAGGTCATCCAGCACACGGGCTTGCCCGGTTCCACCTTAATCCGCTCGTACATGTAGAGCACCAGGGCAAAGAGTTCCACAAAGTAGTCCAAGGCCACGGTGATGACGGCGGCGCCGAACATGGCGGTGGACAGCGTGGTGAAGAGGCGCTGCCACTGCAGTGTCAGCACTGCAAACAACATGCCCAGGCCCAGCAGCACGCCCAGGGGCACCCAGACAGAGCGTGACGGGTCCTCGGACAGTTCCGCCATGCCCACCAGGGTGGCCACGCCCACCAGCAGGCCCAGCAGCAGGCCCACCATGAAGAGGCCCACGCTGCGGACCAACATGGTGACCAGGCCGCAGAGCGTCCCGATGCCCAGCCCGACGCCCACAGAGGCCTCCGCGCTCAGCTGGGTGTCCAGGACGCGCTCCTTGTAGCAGAGCACAAAGATGACAACAGAGCCGAACATCAGGCCCGTCAGGAACATCACCGCCTTGAAGCAGCGGTACCCTGAAGGGACACATCAAGAATGGAGAGTGAATTCTGAGTGACTCAGTTGCAATCGGCTGAAGACGGTTGAACTGAGCTGAAAACTAAATGTAGCAAAAATGTTGACTAATTAACAAAACTCTGTCTTATGGAAGCTAAAAGAAGCAAAATGCTAGCTTAAAGCTAAAAGTAGTAAACTGCTACCTTTAAGCTAGCAAAAAGTTAGCTAAACAAAAATGAAAAGGTTTGCTAAAAATAAATAACCACAGGGTTAGTTAAATTTAGCAGAATGTTATCTTTGATCAAAAGTTAGAATTAGGTTTAGCATTAGTGTAATTTAGAGGGGTAGTTTTAGCACGTGCAGATTTAGCATTAGCAGTAGTAGTCTTATGATTAGCGTAATTTGCAGTATTAGCATTAGCGATAGTAGCATTATTTGAAGTATGTTAAAGAAGATTACAAAACACTGCTTTTGAAGAATTTGAAAATATCTGCATGTGTTTTAAGATGATTATTTGCAAATTAAGGTTAATATTTAGAAAGATATAATTAAAAAGGTTACAGAAACCAGAAGTCCGAACACCCCTCTCCTGAATGAGATGGATGTTTTCGCATAAGACCAGTTAAAATGACACAAAGTATGCAGAACGAGTTAAATGCCAAAATATGTACAACCTCTCAACCGCGCCACGTCCCAAACTTTCAGTAAGTTCAGCTGAAGTTCGGCTGCTCACCAAAGAAGCAGTAGATGATTCCAAAGAGGCAGCACATGGAGCAGACCACCGACGGAACCACCTTGTAGCGCCCGCCGGCGTCTCCACAGGTGTCCAGCCGCTCGGGGCTCAGTTCCAGGTCTGGAGGCAGCAGCATCGTCTCCGGGGTGGTTGTCATGGCAACGGGAGGGGATAGAAGAAGGTGAGCTGATTGGGTGTTACAGAATGCTGCTCAGGTGTACGGTTTCACCTGGAGTTGGACAAAAAACACAGGATGGACAGAAGTCATCACTAAAACAAAAGAGGCATTTTTTTTGTTGTTGTAATTTTCTGTTTTCATGAGACAATATTGAGACATTAATGATACTTTAACAAGACATTATTGAGATATTAATGATACTTTAACAAGACATTATTGAGATATTAATGATACTTTAATAAGACATTATTGAG